TTCCCCATGGAAACAAATACTACAAGGTGAGTAATGGGTAATGAGTATTTTTCTCTGTGTTGAAGAGTCTTTGTCTGTGACAGACTCTGCTTCCACCTCAACTTCCTATTTCTGATAATCCTCTAATATTGAAACATCCAAATTGGTGTGGAGCCTTCTTGGAATTGTTGAAAGGACTGTGTGATGACCCAGGGTGGGATACAAAAGCAACAAAGTCACAAAAACAGGTGAAGTCCCTTTAATTACTTCAACTTGGCTTCAAAGCTCCAGTTATCATTCGCTGGAGAAAAAACTCCCCCACAAACAGTTGCGAAAAGGAAGAAATGCCGTTCAAACTCAAAATGCATATAAATTATAAATAGAAAAAAACAACACAAACCACACTGAAGCAATTAATGAGACAAGGCAGGATAAGGGCTTGAAGACGTCCACAGATATTGAAATACACACACTGGGAAGGATGCCAGAACTCAGATAAGAACTGAAAGACTAGAATTATTTCATGCTTTGCTTCCAGTACTGGGTCATGTGCAGTTTGTCCTTTAAAACAGTCCTCACAGCTGCAGCCCAGGAAGGGAATCAGGGCCCTTTCCTCCCCCGTGGACCACGCCATTCACATTTCTCCCTTATCCTCTCCTCCCTGCGTGCCTTAGGATGAAGAGGGGATGGGCCTGGGTCTTCCTCTGACTGCCCAGCTGACCTGTGCCCTTCCCCAGTTTCCTCCACAACCTCCGGAGCCACACTCCCACTCCAGCTGTTCCTTCTCTCCCTCAGAGTTAGACTCCAACAGGGGCATGACAGACTGTGTTGTAGACTGGGGATAGGTGATGTAGTATTCTCCCACTCTGTTGAGAGGGGACTGTTCAATCTTGACATAGATGGCCTCTTTGACCTCCCCTTTCAAACCAGCGGCCCTCTCTGTCCAAAATGTGGACTCACGGTAGAGTGTGTTCCCTTTGTAGGTAGGGTGGAAGATTATGGCTCAAAACTGGTAACCAAAAAGTTGGGATAGATCTTATTGTGATTGGTCTGCAGGAACGAAGCTCGGATCTTCAGGATCTGAGCTCTGTTTCTCCATCCCATCTAAGGATGCATGTAGAAGAGAATTCCTCCAGGTGGCTGGAGGGATGGAGCTCAAATATTTGAGTAGGGTTTTCCCATTGAGGCATTCAGCTCCTCTCAAGAGGCAGCTTTTTCAACCGGTCCATAGAGAGGAGAGAAGTCCCCCTGGCAAGTCGGAGCAGCTTTCAACCTTTCCTGCTGGCTTCCCCATTGACTTTCTGGGAAAGCCAGCAGAGAAGACAGCAAAAGGCGATCACATGATTGCAGGGTGCTTGGCAACTGGTCATAAGTGTGAGTAGGTCGCCAAGGACCTACATTACAATCATGTGACCATGGGGTGGGTGGCATGACATTTTACAACAGCCAGAAGTACTTCACGGGCTCTAAAGCCCCCCTTCCAGAGGCCATCATACATTTGAATGGTCATTAAACGACCAGTTAGAAGCCAAGGACTACCTGTACTCATGTTATCTTGATTTCACTGACACAGAGACATTTTACCACTGAGGATCTATCTCGGTTCCAAGAGCTCCCAATATTTAAGGGAAGGTTGTGTCTTAATGTCAACATTCTCACTCTGTCATCAACTGGATAGGTGGGGTGCAGCCAGGACTACTTCTGTTGTGTCCAAGTCCAGTTTAAAGAAAAACTATGAAAAGGGAAGCTAAAGACACTAACCAATAAAGACCAAACCTCGCTGTTTTAGTTAAACTTTGCTCTGTTACCATGATGGATATTTTAGATGCTCAGAATGAAATGAGATTTAACCCAATTTAAAGTAAGCTCATCTCAACCTTTGAGTGCACACTGTTCGCAGAAAGACAAACCCTGCTAATTTTTCAATGGGAATTTCCTCTGAGAAACCAGTTTGATACAATTCGGAAGAGAACTATAAGGACATATTCACCAGGACTCAAAATAAATTCACTGCCCCCAACAGTGGTGGGATTCAAATTTTTTACCACTGGTTCTTTGGGTGTGTCTCGGTGAACATGGCGTGTCTTGGTGGGCATGGCATAGGTTAGGGGTAGGGTTAGGGGTTAGGGCAGGGGAAGGATACCGCAAAATCCCCATTCCCTCCCCACCCCACTAACCTGCTTTCCAGCTCCGTTCTACTGTGCAGGGCAACCAAAGAAGACCCAGCCAATCAGCTGGGACTCGAGAGGCAGAGAATAGGTGGGAACAAGGCCAGCCAGAGATGGTATTTGCTGGTTCTCCAAACTACTCAAAATTTCTGCTACTAGTTTTCCAGAACTGGTCATGAACCTACTGAATACCTGCTGAATACCTCTGGACCCCAAGTTTTACTTGATTAGGTATCATCGATTTCCAGTTATCCTTTTTTAAGGAGGCTAAATTTGAATTACTGAAATATAGGAATTGTTTCTTAATGTGTAGCTTTGCACACCATATATTCTATGCAGATGTAGTTTCTATGGACCTGTGCCCATAGATCTGTGTCCTTTGTAGCCTTATTACCATGTGTGAGTCACATCTTGGCAATGGTGAAATCTCCATTCTGTCCTTATATATTAACTTTCCTCTGTTCTTTGAGCCATAAATCACTCAACGATTTTCCAGATATTCCTTACCGGTTCCTGCTGTGCGATCTTCTTTTATTTGTTTATAAATGTACCTTCACCCTTGGAACAAAAATAGTCAGGATGACCTATGAAATACTGAGTTAAAGGAAAGGAAAGAAAACAAAGGAATGAAAAGAAAAAAGCAAGCAAGGAAGGAAGAAAATAAATAAATGAGGAGGAAGGAGGGAGGGAGGGAAGGAGAGAGAAAGAAAGAAAGAAATAAGGAGGAGGAAGGGGGAGGGAAGGAGAAAGAAAAAGAAAGAGTGAAAGAAAAGAAGAGGAGGAGGAGGGAGAGGGAGAGAGAAAGAAAGACAGGGAAGGAAGGAGGGGGAAAGTAAGGGAGGGAGCATGAGGAAAGAAAGAAAAGAACGAAAGAAGGGAGGGAGAGAAAGAGAGAGAGAGAAAGAAAAGAAGAGGAGCAGCAGGAGGAGGGAGAGAAAGAAAGAGCGGGGGAGAAAGGGAGGGAGGATGAGAGAAAGAAAAGAAAGAAAGGAGAGGGGGAGAGAGAGAAAAAAGAAAGAGAAAGAAAGTGGGAGGAAGGAGAGAGAGAGAGAGAAAGAAAGAAAAAAGAAAGAAAAAGAAAGAAAGAAAGAAAAAAGAAAGAAAGAAAGAAAGAAAGAAAGAAAGAAAGAAAGAAAGAAAGAAAGAAAG